CTGTAAGAGACTATCCTGGCCTCCAGACTCCAGAAGAATTGCAGGAAGAGTGGTTGGGAAAAGGAGAAAAGGCAGATGTTAGCTACCCTGTACATTGCTGAGGAAAGATCTGGCTCAAGATCCCATCTTGTACGGAAAGGTGCTGCATGAGAAATGTCATCTTGGAACGATGTGTGGAGCTGCACGGCAACACCAGCCTTGTCTCTCCTTTAGTAGTGGTTACTCTGACCACTGCTTCTGCAGCGTCAGCTGTAAAAACAAGTGCTTTCAGAGCACTACCAGATACCTGTTTTCTTCTGTAAAATATTAATTCTTTATTAATCTATCCAGATTATTTTCCTGTTATGAAAACAATGTGTATCTTTGGCAGCATGTAAATGAAACAGTATCATTGTCCACCAAAGAAACTCCTCCTCCTTAACAAAGCATGGTGTAGACTTTACACTGTGCCTTAAAACTCAAGGTGGACTTTCATGGAAAGCAGAGAAAGAAGAGCAGATCTGTCTTAGGGATTTTATTCCAGTGCCAACAACCTGGCATGTTTAACACGACCAATTAATAAAGCTCTGTCATGCCCAGAAGGAAAAAAATATAAGTGAACAGAGATGGTGAAGATCATTATTTTCACCTGAATTGAGAAGTTTGGAACCTTCATCTGGAAGTAGACTTGTTGGATCGGTACTGAAATTGCCAAGCACTTTTGGTCTTCATCAACTGGATGGTCTCAGCGATCTCCATGCGAAATGCCCAAGAAGGCATTGCTTAGTCATGGGACATGTCAAACGCTCTCAATTTTGTGACCCAAGCGTGTTTATTTACAGCAGTGTTCATATCTAAAAACATGATGATGAAGTCTGTATGCATGAACAAAGCCATTTGAGGGGTACAAAGCTGCTGCCTCAGGACCTAAATTAATATAATAATCAAATCAAGAAATAAAACTCATCAGGTGAGAGGGCTGAAACACTGCAAGGTAAGGAGTCAGATGATTGAAATTGCTAAGGAACCCGGGCTTTTGATTCTTGTTGAAAATTAAATACCAATGAATACATTCCCTGCAGGGGAGAATATGTGGTATTCAGACCCACTCAACAATTATAAAGATGACTTTTTAAACCAGCTGCCCAAGACTACAAAGGAAACTGTGGAAAAGCCACAACCTGAATCCAGAGCCATTGAAACCCAACACAATGCCTTATTAATAAATCTGTCTGGCCTAAGTGTTGAAAAGAGCCTCAAGTGTAGGAAAAGCTGATGTTATATGTGGCAGTCTTTCCAGGCTTCTTTTCCGATGCATCAGTTTTAGTCGTCAGGTTGAGTTTCAGAATTTTGCTCTTACTAAAACCCTGTTTAGCGTGCAAACACAGCTATTTTTAGAAAATTCAGCTATTTTTAGAATAGCTAAGAAGCCCCATAGTTCAACATCAATGAGAAAAAGATGTAAAGATACATGCTATATCCAGGAGTTGATACCTGATTTGCCATATGACAGCATTTTCTGGTTGCTTGCACTCTCAAATATTCTAGTTAGGAATACTTACACTTTTAGCAATTTAATCCTGCTCTATTATCCCTTTATGGGCCTGATCCAGCAAGTCCTCCTTCAGGCAAAAGTCTAGTTAAAGTCAATAGAAGTTCTGTAAGACTAAAGACTGCACGGTCTGAGACATTAGAATTACATGGTTGGTGAGCATCATGTTAAGGAAAAGTAGTATCACAATAAGACTTCAATAAACTGTTTACACTGTTTTAGTCCAGTGCAGTAATTTCCATAGAATCCTCCTCTCCCAGAAAACACATATGTTACATTAAGTCAATTAAGAATCATAGATCAGTGATTATTCAGTAGTAATCACATAAAAACAACTTTTTGTCATTTGTTACTGATTAGACGTTGCACAGTGCTTGCATTTCTAATTATAGTCAGTCCATAAAAGCTGGAATCCCAATTTCTACAATATATGCTAAATGTGCAGCATTTGTTTTTATTTTTAATCCATCACAAGAAATAACAGTAGTTATCACCCTCATTTAGGGTTGTTGAGGCTGTGGGTACTGTGCTGTTGCTGGTGCAGAAGTTGCTTCAGAGTGGTACCTGCTTCAGCACAGAGCCAGATGTTTCCAGAATGTGTGCTGAGAGCATCCCTTGCTGCTGCTGCCTGGTGGTACCCGCCAAAAAAGCGTTTGTGCTCATCTTTGTGCTAGCATTTCAGAATAGCCCTGCCTTGTCATGACTTTCATTTTTATATCTTTAACCCCATACTCAAAGTTAAGAAAAATACAGTAATTGCTGTTTTTGTGTCTTTGTGTAGATCTGATATTGAACTGAAGATTAAATCAACGCTGTCATTTCTGTATAAAATTTCAGTAACATTTTAAGCCATTTTCATGGTGAATGTGCCTAATGCATTCAATTTTACAACAAAACTAAGCATTAATTTTGTCTTTACTGATGTTAATAGCATTCCTCAAAATTGATACTTGAAATGTCAAGTTACTTTTTGCCATATTTCAGGAGAAACCGTAATATTAGAATAACATCTCTTCTACTAATCTAATCCCTTTTCATTTTTTTCATTCATATTTTGTCCCCTTGCAACAAGAATATGCATAAAATAAGTAACTGTTTTGTCAACAGGGACCATAATGATTAAAATACAAACAGTAAATATGACTTCAGGTCTGGAATCGGATTATAAGATTAAAATGAATGAAAAAACTGCTCTGTAGTAGGATTGTGAAGTTCCAAACAATATCATCCGCTAATAATTTTGACAGGAAAATGTGGGAAATAAAGAAATAAGGCAAAGAAAGCAATAAGTCAAGGTTGTTAGTGATGCTTGAATTTCTTGATTTTCTTTTCATTTATCAGGAGGTCCCAGCTAGAAAGCTGCAATGTCATCGAGGGTCTGTTCTTTTAATTTTACTACATCTGTTGTGCTGTGTTGTTTTGTACTTGCATCATAAGAACTAAAGACAGCTGGCCTTAGGTTAATGCAGTGCAAGAGAGGGAGGAACAGCAGATACAGAGGCTACAGGGCACCCAGCACCTCACAAGCACCCACTGGCAAAGGGGACAGCAGTGCCTGTGCATTGCTGCCCTTCTGAGCTTGTGGTGTGGACAGAGGGCATTGCTAAATGTTTTGAATCAAAGGTGTATTGGGGAAATCTGCCCTGGTTGGTCTGAGCCCATCGACAAGGGCATGGTACAACTCACTAGCACAGGAGTGATAGTTTTTCAAGGGTGCTTTAAGTGGTCCTAGGGCCACCCCAGTCCCTTACACGCCGTTGGGCTCGCTCTCTCAGCCCTGGGCAGCCTCATAGCCCAGCAATGTGCCAGTGCTTACTCTGTCCAACTCACATCCCTGCTTTTGCAGTTAAGTCCTCGAGAGATGACATCCTCAGGTTTTGTGCTGGGGAGGTCTCCTCGGGCTGCATTCAGGACAGAAAGGATTTGTGTGCTGCTTCAGCCCTGCCCTCTTTGCAGGGATCTGCAGGATGGTAAAAATGCAAATTACCGTTGTTTCAAGTATTCTTCAGGCCAGCTGTGTGAAGTAGATTTTTCCACTAGAAGGTGTATCTTATGGATTGTGGAGAAGTACCATGAGAAATGCCACCTCTTAAAGGCCTGAATTCTGAATGTTTCTTTTCTTTATGTATATCAGTGTGATGAAGCTATGTTTTTGTTTCTGGTGATGAAGTTAAGATAAATGAAGGTCTGGGGTGCTTAGTCTGATGCATCTGTAGCAGGTTGCCTTTTCAAAAGTAAATGCATTTGTCACTTTCTAAAAGTCAAGCCTGCCTGAGAAGAGCTCTCCAAAATTGGCAGCGCTTAAACCTACCAGTCTTTTTTTTTTTTTAATCTCATGCAAAATGTTAGTTACATCTTTTCAGACACCTAGAGGAATTCAGCTATGAATAAGCTAAAAATATTTTTTAAGGCATTCTTTTTATTGGGAAGACTAACAGGTTGTACTGTGTCAATGCCTTGGGTACTGTCCATCTGGGTCCAAGAACTGTTAGGGCAGCTTGAGCTATGTACATAGAAACTGCAGGAATGAAACATCCTATTGTGTAGGTTAAGGTTGTAGCTTCTGTTGCTCCTTGAGACATGGCACCTCCTGTTGTGAGAGGCAAGGCTGACTAGGTGTGGCATGGCATCCTTATCATGCTTCCAGAGCCAAGCTGCTGCCTCCAGAAATTACTGCACAGCCCCCAGTTGAGTTTCCTGACTATGTCCAGAGCAGCCTGAAGAACTCTGCACTGCTCTCCACTGTGGGATACTGCCCACAAACTCATAGGAGGTCAGCAGAAGAGGAAAAAAATCCTCTTCTGACCAGAGGAGTTTTACACTATACATTTGATGTCTTTCCTTGGGGTAAGAAGCAGGTTTTGTGCTTGTCACTCTTGAGGTCTTCTTGGACCTACCTGTAACCTAAAGCAAAAGGAACAGAAACAAAGTCCCTTTAACTGGGGGTGGATCACATCAAGTGTCCCATGCCCAGCGTCAGGCAAGTGCAACAAATATAAAAGGGAGAAATAACAAGGCTTGGAAGCCTTGTTGGAGAGGAGCAGGACATAGGTGTAGTGCAAAGTCCTCCAAATATATAGAGGCAATGCCCACTGGCAGCTTGAAATAGGCTTCCAGAGAAGGACTGGAACTTACTTGTAGCATACGGGGTGGAATTTGTACTTTCTTCCCCGTTTTCCTGTCTTAATCCCTCTGAAAGAAGACGGCAGTAAGCAGTGACTATCATCACAATGCATTTCTGATTAACAGCAAGGGCACAAGGGCGCTCTCAAAATAGAAGCAAAGTCGGGATTGTTTTAAATCACAGTGTTGCAGAAGTGTTAAAGCAGAAGCCATCATTTTAATGTGTTCAGGAATAAAGTGCATGCTACTGTAAACGGTTGTGTACATTCATCTAGATGCTGCTGCCTGGCATAACCTTTTGCATTAGGTTTCTGTGATTCATCTCTTTTTTTTTTTTCTGTTGCAGAGAGTCGAATGATTCTGGATGCCTTTGCCCAGCAATGCAGCCGGGTTCTAAGTCTCTTAAATTGCGGTGGAAAACTACTGGACAACAACCACTCTCAGTCCATGATTTCGTGCATAAAGCAGGAAAACTCAAATTACAGTGAAAGACAAGAGCAATGTCAGCTTGGGAAAATGGTCCATAGTCAGACATCAGACATTTTAGACATAGAGATGCAGTATATGCAAAAGAAGCAACAAACCTCAGCCTTTCTGAGAGTTTTTACTGATTCCCTTCAGAACTATTTGCTTTCTGGGAGCTTCCCTTCTCAGAACACCTCATCAGTAAATGATTTCAGCCATTTGGCAGATGTGGATCCACTTTCAACCTCTCCAGTACACACTTTAGGTGGATGGACATCTCCAGCAACGTCTGAATCTCATGGTCACCCATCATCTTCTACACTTCCAGAGGAGGAAGAGGAGGAAGAGGAAGAAGGTTACTGCCCTCGGTGTCAAGAGCTAGAGCAAGAGGTAATTTCATTGCAACAAGAAAATGAGGAACTTCGTAGAAAATTGGAGAGCATTCCAGGTAAATTATCCCCTGCCATATAATATTGTCAGTCAGTTATAAGAATAGTTTGGGTAATACTGTGATTTAAGTTCTAGCGATTTTTTTAAGGTTGGGATCATAATAACCAGACACTGGAATTTGTCTCCAGCCAAAATTTCTGTAGCTGTGCCCACTGGAAAATAACCTGCTGGTACTTGTCTGTATGATTCTTGAGTCCTAGTCTTGTGAGCTGTGATCAGGACGGGATGTACTTGTAATCCCAAATTCCAAACATCAGGTGGTATGTCACAGTAATTTCAAATATTTGTTTTCATAACTAATTATCTTTCTTGTTCTTTTAGTGACATTGCAGCTTATAAACCTAATTCCCTTTTGGTGCTCCTTTTTTGATTATTTAAACTACTCAAAGTTACATCCATACTGTTAACTGAAATAGATTTGGCTTTTACCTTGAACAGAATCTTAAATTGCTGTTAGCTCAGTGAGAAGCATAAATACATCTCCCATTTATCTTCAAAAAATACCTGAAAAAACGAAAGCTTGACAACAGCTTCTCCAGTTCAGCAATAGCTAGCAGGCACTGGAGAGAAGAAAGCAGACAGAAAAACCCCATCTAATAGAAAACCTTCGAGAAAAACTCTGTGAAACACTTCTCTTGTCCCTTTAAACTTAGGACTTCTCACTGTGGAAACACTGTGATAAAGGGAATCACGTGGACTTCAACTCCTTGGGCCCTGGCTTCAGATGTTTAAGACCAAAAATTATGATTAGGCTCTATAATCTGACCTACAGCTTTCATTCAGTCACCTATATTGAACCCAGTAATCTTTCTGACTCTGAAGCATAACTTAGATTTGACTCAAGTAATATTTCAGAAGGCCTGCAGTCCTGAGTTGGGAGACTGGTGAGCAGTGGCTTTATGTGTTACCCTGACATTTGACCCCTGTGGTTAATTACATTGCTGAAAACATGTGCTGAATTCCCTCCCAGACTATCTGGAATGAGCTTCTAGCTGTTGACTTTTATGCTTTGCTCCAGTAAGTGAAGTGCTGTATAGGACTGGGTGCTTTTTTCAGATGAAGGTATTACAGATTGAAAACTGACTTAATTTCCATCTTAGATAAAGTAAGTAAACAGAGCTGTTTAACTCCACAAATGAGTTGAATCCTTCTTCACAGTTTTCTCTGTCATTTCTTCAAAATTTAGGTGCTGGAAATACGTGCAATATGTTCCTATCTGCCTGAGTGAAGGTGAATAGTCTCTTTGTTCCCACCCACGGTTGCCTTGGTCATTTGGCCGTCGGTCATGCCACCGAGCTTCTCATTCTGAACACGTTTTTTCCTAGATGTACATACCCTGTATTTGGTTGTGTTCATTTACTAAGTGGTCCAGATTGCTTTGGCTGCCTTCTTTTCCCACTCTTTGCTGGTTCGCCAATGTAGCATCCAGAATTTTTTTTATTGTTGTTAAATTAACTTTGCAGTTCTGGTTGGAAGTGTTGAGTGATATTGAGGTTTCTGTCAGTCCCTGTTGATCCCTGCTAGAAATATATCTATTCACAATGATTCCCCCAGTGGCAAATACTTGAGATGTCGGTAGCAGGTTTTTAATCCACCTATGCTATAGTCTGGTGGTGTGTGGTGTTGCTTTTGCCATCAGATAAGTCATGGTAGTAAGCTAAATGCCCTTCAAGAGCCTAGGTGTATTACGTCTGTTCAACCCAGCTTTTTCAAGCAAACCTATAATCTCATCAAAGAGTGACAATCAGGTTAGTCTGACAAGATTCACTTTCCATAAGGCCATTTTGACTGGCATTAATTATATTCATATCCTTTAGTTCTTTTTCAGTTGAATCCCACTGTGATTGCCTAGATTACGCTAGGATTAGTTCTGGGCTAAGCAGCCAGTATTTACCTGTGTCATCACAGTTACCCTTTAAAAGAGAGATAACTTAGATAAACATAGCAATTTTTCACCCTCCAGGAGTAATGAAGCACCTTGTTAACAGCATATTAAAGGAAACAGACAAACTAATATAAATATGCAAGGATATATGTCTTCACCAGCCAACATAAAATATACAGCTGGGTGATGTATACAGGTAAGTCTAAAGTGACCCAGGTGTTTGGGGACGCATTAAGGGCCACAGAAGGTTCCCTCAGATTTTGCTGAGTGATAGGAAAGACGTCTGAGCTCCCCAGGCAGTCCCACAGCCACCACTGAGCCAGGTTAATCAAAAATCAACTTAAAGCGATGTGTAATTATTTTTGTCTCCAGTGCTCATTTTGCTCCAGTGAGCTTCTGCTGCCAAAGCAGCCGGGAGAGATTTTTCTGTGACTTGAAATGCCCAACTCTGTATGTAAATGGGCACAGGGCTTGTTCTCTTAGTACCCTTATTTTTCCCATCAAGACATTTCATGCTTTGGAGGGAGCCAGCAAGTCCTCTGCAGAGGGTTTCATTGTTGTTTGCCACCACCTATCACGTCAGAGTCATCTCAGAGCACCAACTTTCTTCCTTGCTCATTCATGTATCTTACGCTGGGCATCCAACAGGCCAGTCAAGGGAATCAGTGCAGGGTAAAAGAGACTGTGGAGGCAGCTAGATGGGCGGGGGGGCTGCCATACTGTCCAGTGAAGCTGGTGAAAGAGCAGATTTTGGGACATGTTTTCCCTGTCATCCTTGAGGGAGGTGAGCCGGAGCTGCTGGGTGAGGCTGGCAGGGGCCTCCGTAGGGCAGTTGGAGGTGTGCACTGTGCCCTCCCCATGGGCACGGAGGCTCCCACAAGCCACCATGTCAACGGAAGATAAAAGTACCAACCCCTCCTTCCCGCTCTATAGCTGTCTTTCATTCATTTTATCCTTTCCCTGAAATACTTGGCTTTTTTTTTTTTTTTTTTTTACTTTCCATATGCAAAAACCCTTTTAAAATCCATGAGAGTTTGTGATCTAAAAATAGTTGCTGCTGTACTACTCTGCCTCTAGCTCTGCAAAGCACCATTTGCATGGCTTACAAAGAGACTACCAGGAAGAAGAGTGTTTTCTCAGCAGCTGTAAAGGCAATGACTTTTTTTAACAAATACTGCAGGAGTCATATCCTCCTGTACTTTTTGGACACAGAAAATAAGATTTTTCAGTTCTGCCCTGTTGCTGTAGAAGCCCTCCAGTCCTATAGGATCTTTTTGCCCATGTGCTAGCCGCACTCTGGCAGATCACTGCTGGAGAAGAACAACTGGGTGAAATTGAGAAGAATGGGTGAAATATTGCATGATTTCATTGTTGGCTTTTTTGCTTTTTTGTCAGAAAATACCTGTTTGATTTGACCGAAACAAAACCTAAAATTTTGTAAAATCTTAATTGTTTCAGATATAGAATAAATGAAGAAAAATGAATATTTTGGTGCTTTGGTTTTGGAGCAATGCAACTTCTTGCAACTTGTGCAGTTTTCCCCAATATTTTTCTTGAGACAAAAATATTAACCAAACATTTTCAATTTTCAGTTCAACTGAAAAGAGGAGAAATATTTTTATTCAGTGTGTTATTTTGTCTTGTTTTGAAAAATAATTAAAGATTAGATAATTCCTGGAACAAGTTTAGCAAACTGATTATTGGCTTCTTAAGGTTTTGAGACTGTCAAGAGTAGAGCAAAGTAATCCATCTATAGGAAGAGAAAAGTGACTCCTAATCTCTTTCCTCTGTATAAAAATTACTGAGGCTGCGATATGTTCCCAGTAGTGAAATTAAAGACTTATTTGTGAAACTGCATGTAAGACCTGGATTTAGACTGTCTAATATATAAGGATACTGAGCAGTTCCCCTTCATCAATATTGGCAGCATGATTTTGTCACAGTCTTTGGCCTGAAAGGGAGAAAATATTTCTAGGTGGTTAAAGCAAAGGCCTGTAGTTGTGAGTGAGGGTTTGCCTCCTGGTGCTCCCAGTTTTGCTGCATGGTTTTGGGCAAACCAGCCTGAAAGTAGTGAAAAGGTACGGAACACTGTGTGATAAATACAGTAATTATTCTTACCTTGCTAGTCCAGCAGCAAAAAATACTCCAGCAAACAGCAGAAGGATAGGGGTGGAAAATTCTCTCAAAAGTAGAAAGGTGATCTCCTATAGAGGTGGTGTTCATGGTGGCTGGAAGTAGCCAAAGCAAAATGGGAGTTGCAGGTAGAGTTAGTACCAATGTAATTGAAAGAGACAAGTTTTCCAGGAGGTTTTGTGTGCCCAAGGCTTGACTCTTTTTCCTGTCTATATCAGATGATCTAATAAAAGATACTTTTACAAATCCTGTCTCTTTTATACTTTCAGAGCATCATATTTCCAAAGAGCCTACCATGGCAGCAGAGTAGCTAAAGCAGCCATCAAGGGTTGTGATGAACATTTTGCACGTCCTTTGGCTTTTTTGTGTCCTTTTTCTTGATGTTCACATATAACCACTTCTTTGGTTTCCCTTGATGTTCTGGATGTTTTGGTCTGATCTCTGGCCTTGTTCTGCTTCAAAGCATGAAGTTACTTCAGGAAGAGAGAGACTCAAGCGCAGTCGCCCAGTGTTTGGTACAAGAACTCCTTTGAATTTGCAGCACAGCTTTGGTTGCAGCTTGGGGGTGCCAGCTTATTTTGCTAAACCAGCCAGAGTACAAAAACTTACTGATTCGTGTAACTGCAGCAGACAAGGGCTTTATTAATCTGTTTTCTCTATGCTTCTGGGTAAAAACCCGTGGGTATAAATGTGTGGAGGGGTACACAGGGGAGGTCCCTGCCCTGAAGACTTCAGTAGCTGAAAGGGAGGACAAGAAGACATACCTTCTATAAAGAGAAAGAGAGTGAAGGAACACAGACAAAAACAAAAGCCACAGGAGTGTTTGGCAGCATCACTTAAATAAGAGAAGCACAGCTGCCTTGTTTTCTCTTTTCTTCTGTTGTTTAGGCAGAGGTGTACATTCCAGGGGCATACAGAAGGGGCACAGTCTTTCTTCTTTCTGGAATGAATATTCTTGCAAAAGAATATTAAAAGTAATA